CCAGCGCGGACAGCACGGACAGGTGACTCTGGACGCGACTCAGGCGACGGAGGACGAGACTCAGGCTCACGACGCTCCGTAAGACCTCCCGTCGGCTCAGCGTAAGGAGAAGGACCAGGCAGTGGAGAGGCTGGCTGTAACTGTGACTGCGACTGGACAGGCGGTGGACTCAGTAGGGGAGGAGAAGGACCAGTAGAGGGCGGGAGACTAAGAACCTGCTGAAGGAGCGGAACGTAGTACGGCCGCGGCCGCTCAGCACCTCCAGCAACAACCCCCTAAGCAGGCCCAGTCCCAGCAGCTCCAGTACCTCCAGTACGAGCACCCCCAGGACCTCCAGTAGCGCCAGCAGCACCGCTAGCAGCAGCAGCACCTCCAGCAGCTCCAGCAGCACCAGCAGCACCTCCAGTAGTAGCAGTACCTCCAGCAGCTCCAGCAGCACCAGCAGCACCACCAGCACCAGCAGCACCTCCAGCAGCGTCAGCAGCACCAGCAGCACCTCCAGTAGTAGCAGTACCTCCAGCAGCTCCAGCAGCACCAGCAGCACCACCAGCACCAACAGCACCTCCAGCAGCGTCAGCAGCACCAGCAGCACCTCCAGTAGAAGCAGCACCTCCAGCAGCTCCAGCAGCACCAGCACCAGCAGCACCTCCAGCAGCACCAGCAGCACCGCCAGTAGCAGCACCTCCAGCACCAGCAGCACCTCCAGCACCAGGGTCCGCGGCACTAGGAGCGCCACTCCGGAGACTGCAGCGCCGAGCGTACCACTCCCGGAGCCGCTGGGGAGAGGGCAGCTCCCGCCTAGGAGGGGAAGCACTAGCACCAGCTCCAGCAACACTCCTAGCTCCAGAAGCACCCCTCCTGAGGCTGCAGTGCTGTAAGTACCACTCTCGTAGCTGCTGTGAGGAGAGAGCTCCTCCAGGTGAAGTACGCTCAGTCTCAGCACCCTCAGACGTAGCACACCCAGGCTCAGCACCCCCAGACTCAGCACCCGCAGGCTCCGCACCCCCAGGCTCAGCACCCCCAGACTCCGCACCCCCAGGCTCCGTACCCCCAGGCTCCGCACCCCCAGGCTCCGCACGCTCAGGCTCCGCTCGCTCAGGCTCAGCACCCCTAGCAGGACGAGAGTCGACAGCTACCTCGACAGGCTCAACCGGGTCTACCTGGGACACACCTGAGGGAGCGGCACCCTGAGGGGGGAGGGGGTCTACCACAGCAGCACCTGGCGCGAGGAAGAGAGGCGGGGGGGGGAGCGGGGCAGTGCGGTAGGGGAAGAGGCGGTAGTAGGGCACGGACTCGTCAAAAGTGACGTCCTGAGAGGGCAGGACACGGCGCGAGGTGGCGTGGTAAAACTGCCAACCAGACGCGTCCGGGACAAAGCCAAGGAAGACACAAGGAACAGCGCGGGAGGAGAGCTTGTCCGCGGACGTATCGCGAACAAAAGCTCGAGAACCCCAGACCCGAAAACGCGACGCATCGCCAACCTCTCCCGTCCAACGCAGTGTCGGGGAAGTCTTCGGCAAGGAGACACGGGGCCAGAGGTTGAGCTGATGCGCAGCGTATCGGACCGCAAACGGCCACAGAAAGTGGGGGGCAGCCGCATGGATCAAGGAGGTACGAGCGACCTCCATGACCAAGCCAATGCGGCGCTCAGCAACCCCATTCTGCTGTGGAGAGGCCGGAAGCGTGAACGACTGGCGAATGCCGTGCTCCGCACAGTAGGCTGCCAAGAGGTCGGAGGAGAACTCACCACCTCTGTCAGAGTGCAAACGCAGGACAGGAAAGTCCGAGTGGAAACGCTCACTGAGCTGGAGACGAGAAGCGCGGATCCAAGGGATCAAGACATCAGGGACCTCACCCTTGGTGCGCAAGGGGAAGACCGTGGTGTAGCGCGAGTAGTCGTCAACAACGATCAGGAAGTACCTCTCCTGACCCTGTCCACGGACGCGGGCTGGGCCCCACACGTCCATGTGGAGCGTCTGCAAGGGAGCAGTCGTCGGGGGAAACGAGGAGGAGTGAGGAGCGGCGCGCTGCCGCCCCTCGACACAGGGAAGACAGGGAGGAGCAGGCGAGGGTGGGAGGGGAGGGAGAACCCTGGGAAGACCAGAGACAAGGTACCGTTTGTGCATGGCACGAAGGCGCTGCACTGACGGGTGACCAAGGCGGTGGTGCCAGAGGACGGTCTCGTGTGCTAGAGAGCGACACGAGCAGGGGGCAGACAGCTGACCTGAAGTAGACGCAGACGCAGCTACCCGAGGGGACTCAGTGGTCAGTGTGTACAGGTCCGACCCCGGCTGCCGAGTGAAGGTAGCCAGGTGACGGCCCGTCCGAGCACACGTGCAGTGTGTCACGCGCTCGTAGGCAGGGGTGAACTGGTGGACACCCCCGTCCTGGAGCGCACAACCCGCCACCAAGTTCGTAGAGAACGAGGGGAGGTGGAGACCTGACAGTGTGCCCGACGGAACTGCAGGACAAGGAAGGACAGTGGAGGAGGTCGCAATGACCGGACCCCCAGAGGGGTCAGCAAGGGAGACAGCAACTGGCCGAGCAAGCTGCTCAAGGGCAGTGCGGTCACGAAAGAAACAGCGAGAAGCACCTGAGTCCAGTGTGAAGGTGTGCAGTGCCTCAGTAGACTCAGTACCAGGGGGCGCAGACTCACGAGCACCTAGAGCAGTAGCCTCACCAGTACCTGGGGCAGGAGACACGGGAGTACCTGGAGCGGCAGCCTCACCAGCACCTAGGGCAACAGACGCACTAGCACCTAGAGCGGCAGCCTCACTGGTCCGAATGCCCGGGTCGGGCGGAACACGCAGGTACTGAGCACCCTCTCCACTAGTAGACAACACATACATGGCAGTGAGAATAGCATCAAAGTCTAGAGCATAGATATCAATGTTTTTCTTCATCAGATCAGCCCAGCGGGGCAGCTCAGTGGCAGCAGGGAACTGAGTACGCCAAGCGTCGTCGAGGTGGGAGAAGCAGCGCTGCGTGGTGTGCGCCCTCCCACACGTCTGACCAGTGCGGTCACCTGTGCGGATGACGTACGTGCAGCTAAGTCCACCCCCCCCCCCGTGCTGAGAGTACCACTCACGAAGCTCCTGGGGCGACGGAGTCGGCTGCTGGCTCTGGCCACCGCCAGCGCCTCCACGACCACCACCTCCGCCGCTGCCACCCCGTCCACCACCGCCCCTGCCGCCTCCGCGTCCACCGCCGCCACCACCACCGCCCCCGCCCCTGCCACCTCCCCTGCCGCTGCCGCCACCACCCCCACCGCCGCCACTAGCCCCTCCAGCCCCGCCACCACCCCCACCGCCGCCACCACCCCCACCACCGCCTCCCCCGCCGTCACCTCCACCTCCCTTGCCCCCTTTGCCCTTGCCGCTGCGGCGCCAGCTCGGAGCGGACGCAGTTCCGACCTGCTCAGTACCAACTAGGTCGACAGCAGCAGCAGAGGCGACAGAGGGGAGGAGGGGGGAAGGGGAACACCCCTCGAAGAAAGGGGTGCGGGGGTCGCCACGAGAGGCACCTACAGCGACTATGCTAGCCTCGGCTGCAAGCAGTTCCTTCTCGAGGAGGTCAATGGTGAGCTCAGTGGGGCAGCGAGCTAGGAAGTGGTCCCTGACTGAACGCAGAGTGTCAGGGAGGCGAGTGACTAGGTGGTAGAGAGTGAGCCAGAGCGGGGGGGGGTTCTTGTCAAGAAACTCAGCGGGCATAGCAGCACGGAAGCGGGCCTCACTAGTGCGGAGGTGCGTGATGAGGTCAGAGACTGTGGAGAAAGCTGACAGGTCTGGGAACAGGTAGGGGAGCGAGAGACGGCCTAGTGCAGCAGAGGCAGGTGAGGAGTAGCGTGCAACTACAGCAGTGTACAGTGCCTGCGCAGTTTTGTGCTGGCCAAAGTGCTCGCGTTCATCTACCGGCAGGGAATTGCGAATAGCGAAGCGAGCGTGAGCGTCACGAGTCTGCCACTGTGAGCGGGCAGTCCTGTCAGCTGTAGCAGCAGGGGCAGTAGCATGGCCTAGCGCGTGATCGTACAGTGAGATATCCTCCTTGGCAGTGAGCTGGAGGAATAGGTGTAAGTCATCGAGCCAGATCTCAAACTTCAGTGGGCGGCCCTCAGCATCGAAAGCTAGCACAGAAGGACTAGCCATAGTTGCAGTGACAGTAGTAGTAGGAACTGCAGTAGTAGGAACAGTAGGGCGGCACGGCTCTGCCTAGGCGGCGCGGCTCGGTTCGGGCGGCGCGGCTCGGTTCGGGCGGCACGGTTCGGCTCGGGCCGGGCTACGGGGCAGTGCGCGACGGGGGGGGGGGGGGGGGGGCGTGCACACGGGCGGCTGTAGCGGGCGGGCCGTGGCCTTGCGTGGGCCTGACTAGTACGTGGGCGGCCTAGAGGGCGGCGGCACGGCCTACGGGCGGGGCTGCCGGTCGTTAGCGGGCTACGCGCGGCCAGAAGGGCCCGTCGACGGGCTGCTAGCGGGCGGCGCGTGGCAGCGTGGGAGGCTAACGGGCGGCGCGCTCGCAGGAAACGCCGCGCGCGGGCTGCTAGGGGGCGACGCACGCGAGAAAAAAAAAAGGCCGCGTGCGGCTCTACTGAGCTGCGCACGGGCAGTAGGAGACAGTGAGGCGCACGATGGCGCACTAGGAGAAAGGCGCTCGAGGGCGCTTCGAACGGAACGGTGGGCCCTAAGGAGCGATCCTAGGTCTAAACCTACGCTCTTAATACCATGTTAGAAAGAAGAAGTGTTGGACTAGAAAGGAAAGGGAGTACAAGTACCTAACCCTAGAATTGTGTACCCCCTAAAGGCTAACCCACTGTAGCCTACACAAATACAACATATATAATTTTGACATGGAGGTCGCGCTCGCCCCCGTTGCCGCGAGCTGGAAGCGGGACGGGGTAACGGTGTCGTCGGACATGATGACCGACCGTTGTGGCCGCCCGCAGGCCAACGTGCTCCTTGTCAACGACTCCGGCGCAGTTTTTCGAGCAGGCGGTGGACTGCAACATGGAGTCGAAGACCGGGGGGTACATCGCCAGCCTTCTCCGCCCCGTCATTGATAAGGTGGGGCCGGAGAATGTGGTGGCGGTCTGCACCGATGGCGGCAGCAACTATGCATCGGCCGCCAAGAAGATTGCGAGCACATGGCCGCACATTGAGCATGTGCCATGTGCCACGCATGTCCTGGACCTGATGATGGAAGATATGGGCAAAATGGGATGGGCGAAGGGGCTTGTGGAGAAAGGAGGGGAGATGATTACCTTCGTGCGCAACCACCACCACTTTACCCGTGCCTATATGAAGAAAGTGGGGGGGAAGCAGGTGCTCAAGCCTGCGGGAACCAGGTTCGGGACACAATACATAGCCATGGTCCGGCTATGTGAGGTGAGGAGTGGGCTGGCGGCGATGGTGCTCAGCGACGAGTGGAAGGTGTGGGCAGCGGCGGACAAGGATAGGAAGGCAGCAGCTGAGAAATTCAGGGCTGCTGTGATGGATGAGGAGTGGTGGGGGGTGGCGGAGTTCTTTACCTCTCTCATGGCGGTGCCATTCAAGGCCATGCGGGCCACGGACTCTTCCGCGAAAGGCATGATGGGTAAGCTGTATGACATCATGATACAGCTTACCGAGGACATCAATGACAAGCTCGACGCTTCAAGTGACTTCTTGACTCGGACAGAGAGGGCAGACATCACCAAGATTGTGAAGGACAGGTGGGACAACTCCCTTGCCTGCCCCATGCATGTGGTTGGCCGGATCCTGAATCCGGCCAACCAGGAGGAGGGAATTTTCAGGAACGATGTGGAGTGCACGCGGGTGTTCAAGGACTACATCGAGCGCCACTATGATAACAAGACCTTCAAGCGTGGCAAGGATGGCGCCCCTCGCCGCGCCTCCCTTGTGCTGCAGGAGGCATTGCTGGCCTACATCAACATGGAGGGCAGCTTTGGCAAGCCGGGCGCCATTTCTGCAAGGGAGGCAGTGAAGAAGGGGGAGATGAGCATGGTGCAGTGGTGGTCGTGGCACAGCACCGAGTATCCTGAGCTTGCCGCCCTCGCATGCCGGGTGCTCACTCAGCCCGTCTCGGCTTCCCCATGCGAGCGTGGCTGGGCGCAGTGGGAAGGCATCCACACCGCCCGCCGCAACTGGCTCGGGTCCGCCAAGTGTGCGGACCTCGTCTACATTGCGCACAATTTCAACGTTGTGCGCAATTGGTACAAGAAGGATGGGGGCAGCACGGTTGTGCCCGGTAACATCCCGGATGCCCCTATCCCCCCCGGCTATAACATGGATGAGGAGGAGGATGACATGCTGGGGGAGGAAGGAGAGGATGCAGTGCTGGCGGATGAGTATGGGGAAGGTGTGGTGGTGGAAAAGCCCCGCAAGGAAATCGGTTGTGGGGAAGCTAGCTAGAGGGTGGGGTGGGGTGGGGATGTATGGGGAGAAGTAGCCCCAAATATGTATTTCTGGATATTTATGAAATTTAAATTATGACTTGTGTTCTTGGAAAACAATCCCCCCCCCTGAAACAGGTTTTTTTAGCCCTGCCCGGGAAAAAAGTTTTACCTGCTCGCCCAGCGTATTTTTGCGTATCACCAGTACGCCAGCCCTGGCGTACCGCGTATATACCCAGCGTATAATACGCTAGCGTATTATACCCTGGGACGCGTATCTGCCAACGTAGTGTGGGGAGGGGGGGGGACGGGGAGCTGGGGAAAGAAAGGGCAAATGAGATGCAAAGAGGGATGCAGATGGGATGGCGCAGGCACAGGCAGGAACAGGGAGCCAGAGCATCCCAAACAGCGTTCCTGCTGATAGGCATGGCATGGGGAAGCAGAGCGGCATGGGAAAGCAGAGCGGCATGGGGAAGCAGAGCGGCATGGGGAAGCAGTGCGCAATTCTAAAGCCAGATGTTGCTTGTGCTGAGAGACGTGTGCCATGGCATGGCGTACAATATAGACATGAGCATAAAAGCAGCTAATTTGGTGGTTTGAGCATTGTCGAGGGCACAACACACCCGAGCCACGGTGGCACGGGTAAAGTGGTGGTTGCGCACGAAGGTAATCATCTCCCCTCCTTTCTCCACAAGCCCCTTCGCCCATCCCATTTTGCCCATATCTTCCATCATCAGGTCCAGGACATGCGTGGCACATGGCACATGCTCAATGTGCGGCCATGTGCTCGCAATCTTCTTGGCGGCCGATGCATAGTTGCTGCCGCCATCGGTGCAGACCGCCACCACATTCTCCGGCCCCACCTTATCAATGACGGGGCGGAGAAGGCTGGCGATGTACCCCCCGGTCTTCGACTCCATGTTGCAGTCCACCGCCTGCTCGAAAACTGCGCCGGAGTCGTTGACAAGGAGCACGTTGGCCTGCGGGCGGCCACAACGGTCGGTCATCATGTCCGACGACACCGTTACCCCGTCCCGCTTCCAGCTCGCGGCAACGGGGGCGAGCGCGACCTCCATTTTCTGCCGCACGTCGCCTCATTGCCAAAGAAATCCGTAATTTTGCTCTTTTTCTCCGGGTTTCCCATGACAGCGTCAAGCGCGGAGTGAATTGCAGCAGCGGCCGCCCCTCGCTTCAAGTCCTGCTGTTCCGCCTTGGTCTCGTACATGCCACGGACTTCATCGCGGACTGCCGTGGGCGCGTCCTTGCATAACGCCACAGCGCGCTTCTCCTGCCCTTTCCATGTCACGAGATGGATTGCACAGCGGTTTGTTCCACCCTCGAACTTCTTGCCACAGAACTTGCACAGCTTGGGGTTGCCTTTGCTGTGAAACGGAATGAGGAAATGTTTCAGAATGGGGTGAGATAGTCCAGCCTCAACAGGATCCGTGTTGACGGTAGTAGAGCCATGGACAGAGGCTGGATTGTTGTTCGTCGAAGTACTAGGAGCTGAGCCCGACGCCATGGCGCACTACGTAAGTCTAACTAACGAAGAAGAGTGGAGAAATGCGGGAAGGAAATGGAAGAGCATTTGCGCAACGTCGACCTATACGTGCAAACGATGGAAGAACATTTGAAGGGGGTGGTTGGGATTGAGAGGTTGGGTGGGGTGATGTGTGGTTGAGGGGGTGGGAAAGTTTGGATTTTGAAATTCGAAGTTCAGAAGTGGGGTTGGGCACATGAGCGAAGTCGCGGTAACACTTCGCGACTTCGCACATCGTCGCGAAGTTTCTCAATTTCGGATTTTTTTTTTCGCCGGGCTGCCCGGCCGTATTTTCGCGAATTCAGAGCGTATCAGCGTATCACGCATATACGCTAGCGAATATACGTGATACGCCAGCCTTTCAAGAGCGTATCTGCCAACGTAGGAGCCACCATCTTGACTGTGGGCGACTTGAACGCTCTTTTGACCACCCCAAGTCCCTTGGATACCAATTTCCTCACCTAGACCAGCCCAAGTCACCTCCAAGCTAGCTCCCTAGACTTTCTGACTATGTTTGCTTATATCCTGCACTTCGAATTTCTTACTATTTGTGGAACCTTTCAGCATTTTTTAAACAGCTTCTCCTTGTGCACGTTAGGTCTGTTTTTTTATCGTTCACACACCAATGCCCAGCACAAATTTGTGTTTCCGTGCTGAGGGAAACACTAAACCTGGGCAAATGTTCAAGTGGGGCAGGAGAGGTCTGCAGCAAGGCTACATTCGAGTGGAGAATAAAAAACAACTTCTCAAGGAGAACGAGCAGCACAATTTCGGGTCACGTAGGTGGCTGTTGCGACGACTCGGCTCGACTCAGGAGGAGCTGATTTCCACTAGACGAGCTGAGGAGCTGGCTCATGCAGACGTGGAGGGGGGCCACTGCAATCCAACGTAGTGTTGCACGTGCAATGACATAACATATGAAGCCTAGTAGACGTTTCACACATGCAATCACACACACGACTACCCTAAAAAAAATAAAGAAAGAAAGAGTGAAAGGAACACGGACAGTGTGTCAAGAGAAGTTGCCGTCCACTGCGTTGGAAGGGGGCCACTGATTTCGTTGTGCGCCAGATTGCTGGCGGAGAATGTGTGGGGGGAGAATGTGTGGCGGGAGAAGGGAAGAGAGGGATGAAAAAGTAGGAACAAATATATATATATATATATGTACATCTATATATCTAAGCAAAATATGTGAGTAAGCAATGTGCATCCCGACCCAGCCGTGGCAGGACGTGGGTGGGAGGCCACTGGAGAGGCGAACCTAGTGATGGAAGTATTTCAACACACAACGAGCAGGGTCGCACGGGCTTATAGGGCGAGCGCCGAACTAGACAAACTGAGTGGTCAACAAGGAGAGGCGCGTGGGTCCACAGAGTGCATTCCATGAGACCTCAAAGGGCGATTTTTCAGAGGGAGAGTGGGCTTGAAGGAAGGTTGACTGATGAGCGGCACACACATGGGTGGTTCATGACGTGACAAGGTGGAGTGGAGAGACATGCAATTATGCTCCGCTAATATACCTCCGTTCTCCAATGTGTGTTGTACAGAACGCCATGAGAACAAAAGGACTTTAAATCGGGAAGATACTACCTTGCACTTATGCCCATGCACCATGCCCCATGCACTATGCCCCATACACCATGTCCCATCCCATGCATGCACCATGTCCCGCCCCATGTACCATCCCCACAAAGTAACCCATGAACCAAACCCCATGCCACATGCACATGCCTTATGTAAGCAGTGCATGCCATGAATCCAGCCCCATGCTTCATCCATCCTCCCCATGCCCCACAGCGTTTGTAATGTGGTGATAGTGCCCAGGTTGGAAGGGAGCGACCCACTCAGATCATTGTTCTGCAGCAGACTGCCGTGCCAGGCAAGGGGTGCAGGGGCGGGGGGAGAGGACAGGTGCAGAAGGATAGGGGGGAAGGAGACGGGTCGGGCGGGAGAGGGAGATGGAGGGATGGAAGGGTCATATGGTATGGGGAGGAAAATCAGGGTCGTTTGTAAAAGAAAGGCGATTGTTTGCACCGTATGGAGAGCGCATGTGCAGCAGTGGGGGGGAGTGGTGCAAGGCCCACACGCACTCTCACCCACATTTGGCTGCATTCGTGAATGACCAAGCCCAGGCAGTGCGGAGAAAGTCAAGACATATAAGGCATGACGGCATGACCCTTGCATGGCAGGGCCTGGGGCAGGCTAGTTAACCAGAACGGCCCAACTTCCGCCTGGGATGAATCAGTTCACCTCGAATGAACCAAGGTTTGCCTACCTGCCATGTGTATTCCCATTCTCGGGCATTGGTTTTTATACCAAACACAAGTTAATAACACCTCCCGAATACCAACCAACAACCCAGTAGGTGTTTACCGGGGGGGTTTTGCAAGTAAATGTTTACTCCCTTGTTACACTTATATTACCCAGCCCAGACATTCAATGGTGGCGCTCATTAGCACGTAGGGTCTCGAGATAATCGTGCGTATGTGGCCCTAACAAACGCTTGGCCCAACTTAGGCTGGACGGGAGATCAGAGCATTCCACTAAAACCAGGGTTTCCTGGGAAACTAGTTGGTGGTGATTCTATAATACTAAACTAACTGAGGGAGAAATAGAAATTGAAGAAGTAGAAGAATACACACACACACACACACGCACGCACGCACGCACACACACACACACACACACACACACACACACAAACACACACAAACCCCAACCTGGCCCTACGCTCATGTCATGTCTATGGCTCGAGTTTAGCGAGCTGGCTCAGCGACACGTGGCCATGCAATGCAAGGAGCTCACAGGAAACGGAGATTCGTCATTTTTGTTAGAGTCGAGGGTAGGGAGCCCGATATGAGGTTATCGTTGGCATACCTGGAGTGATGGGATGGGAACGAGGCAGGGAACAAAGAATGGTGAAGGAAGAACACTTGTCGAGAAAAGAATGGTGATCACAACAAACAAGGCTACAGAGAGGGTCACGACTCATGTGTGGAGGAGGAGGAGGAGGAGGAGGAGGAGGAGGAGGAGGAGGAGGAGGAGGAGGAGGAGGAGGAGGCACAGAGTGAGGGCATGAGAAAAGGAACTCACAGAAACATTAGTTTGGAGACACTCCCAAGCGCGTCTGGTAGAGGACCCGTAACCTGGTTGTTGCCAATCTTGCTGATGAAGGGGTGATGGACGTTCAGAAAGGAAGCAGCTTGTTTCAGACGAGACCAGCATTACATGAGTGTTGTGGTGGGAAGGCCATGGGAGCAAGCAACGCATTGACAGGCATGGTGAAAAAAACAGACTGTTACTCACAAACCTTAGCCATAGAAAAACAAGCATAAGAAGTGCTGGTTGCTTGGCCTGGCCTGGCTCTTGTCGTCAACCAGTGCCAGGCCCAGGCCAGACTCAGCTGTCACTGTCACAAGGAGATGGGTCAAGGGCCGGTATGGGAAAAGGGCCGAGATGGGTCAAGGGCCGATATGGGTCAAGGAACCAGCCCCTCATGGGCCCTTCAAAACCATGTAATAAGGCTGGCCCTGGGCCAAGTTATCAGCAGTACACGCAGGGCCGGGGTTGACTTACCATGCCTACGTACTAGCCATGCAAGTGCGTTGCACTTGTAGCGCATCAACCCTATGGCTGGTTTATGCCAACTCCTTTAAGACCATTGAAGGCCTGCACGGCTGGATGGAGTCTATGAGCCGTTGCTAGGCTGGTACAAGCAGGAAATGACGGCGCTGGCCGGCTTACAATAAGGTTAGCGAAGTCAATTTGGTGAAGGATGATGGGATTGGCCCATCCAGTTGGTTGTAGTGCAATTGCCTGTTATAAGGAAACAATGTGCAGTGGCAAGGAGATGTATCAGGATGTGGGAGAGTCGTTACAAGTGGACTGTGGACGTTGTGGCGGCGGGAAAGGTAGGCGCGTGCTGTAACATACTGCACTTGAATGCCTGACGACTTCTGCTGTTGCGTTGCATGTGATGCGAGTAGGGATGAGCATGAGGGCGGGCTAGGGCCCGCCCGGAAATGCCCCGGGCCGGGCATCATAATTTCGACGTGGGCCCGAGGCAGTTGGGCTGGCCCGGCCCGGCGGGCCGCAGCCGCCCGATTTTGGCCCGCCCATGTACGGGCCAGGCCGGGCCGCATTGAAGCGCAAAAATAGAACAGAACAGCCCAAAAATACAAAAATTATAACAGCACCCGGGCCGGGCCGGCCCGGCCCGGGTCGGGCCATGCAGAGCCCGGGCACGGCCTGCCCGCCTTAAGGGCGGGCTCGGGCCAAGAGTTTCCTTTCACGGCCCGGGTCGGGCCCGACCCGGGCCGGGCCTGGCCCGCCCGGTGCTTATCCCTAGATGCGAGTATACTTTGGAGCATTATGAACGAGAGTGTGGGATTGCAGTTGCGTTGAAGAGTGCTACAAGAACAGATGGATAGGGAGGGAGAGGACGAGACAAACGAAGTGAGCCTGGCGATAAAATGAAACGATACGACGAGCTTAACGGGAAAGAACGTTGGAGGGGGAGTGGGAGCAGGAGGGAGT